AAAATACTCACCAATTAGCTCCACACTGGACGCGGGCAGCTTCAATCCATCCGGCAGATGGACAGAGGCCGTGATGGTGACCTTGCCGGGATTGAGTGCGCGTATACGCACGGAAATTAAATCGGTGCTTTGGTACTCGATGCCTAAAAGAGCGAAAGATGAACAATTAGAGATTTTGTCGCAGCGAAGTCGTCTAAATATGTTAGATTGCATATACAGTAGAGTCCCGATAATTCGAAATAACAAGGGGGATCAGTTTTTTTTTTTTTTGATTTACACGGAAATTCGAAAATATCGAGAATTATTGAGAACGAATTTCTTTCAAGGGAATAGAATTTTTTTTTTTATTTATCGCAATTTTTTATTTAGCGGGGTACGAATTATCGAGACTCGACTGTATATAATTGATGTTACTGGGCTTCATCTAATATAAATTAAGTTTTATATAGTGATTCGGGTACGATATATATTAATAATTCGCCCTCAAACGCCTTTTCCATATGTGAAAGTGGTTTTGATATATATATGTATATACATAGTTATATTACTATATACCACTTCAACTTTTTGGAAGACTCTACGAAAATGCTTCTCGCTTTTGCAGTCTACAGCTTTAGCTTGAAGCCTTGTACGTTCCGTATCTGTTCCTGCACTGGAGCTCAACCATGCAAGCTCATCGTAGAACTGTTTGATCTGCGTGCACTTGGTGGGCATTGAGCTGAAATCTCTGCGCAACAATGCGGTATCTGTGCACGCTGACAATATATACATAGTCAACTCACCCGCTGCCGTAAACACATTGAAGATCTCCACAACATCCGGCTGATTGACTGACCAGGTTATACGCATATTCTCCAGTGTGCCCAGCACCATGGGCGACAGATCTGGTTGGCCCCACAGCGTGGCAGGCATCACAGCTCCTGAGCGTATACGCACAAGTGGCGTGCGCACCTGGACGGCAGTTAGAGCGACAACGCGCACGTCCACTGTATCCTCGGAGACAACCTCATCCTTGCCACTGATGGGGTTCTTCAGCAAACAGCGGCCAGTTATGCGCGTAACGCCCAATTTGTGGGCTGTGACTATGGCAGAGCTCATAGCTGTGCAGGCGGAGGAATAATACAATTAATAGATCTATTTGTATAGCTACTAGAGCCGCCCACTTACTTGCCACCTTTTCCTCGTGCACGGTGTAAACGATATTAGTATTTGGTTGCGGTCCGCCCTGGTAGTAGATTTGTATGCTCGAGCCCACGACGAGCGTGGAGTTCCTGGGATAGAGACGCATGGGCGCAAAGACCTGCACGTTGAGTGGCTCACTGGACACCTGACGCTCCCCCTTGCCCGATTGGAAGATAACCTTGGTCTCGCCAATGTTGTTGCCCATTATGCTGTAGCGTATTTCGCCAACGTTCAAATTGTCCTGCTCATCCAGCTTGACAGTCAATATGGTGGGATCGAACACCAACTGCGACAGCTGATAGACGCTCAGCATATTCGGATCGATGTGCAATGGATTATCGTTCGTATCGAACAATCGCACAATGGCCTCGATGGTATTCGTTCGCTCCACTCGATCCAGGGCACGCACAGTGATCGATCCAATGCCCACCACGGAGATGGACAAATGCGTCGGTTCGTTCATTAGACAGAGATCGGTGAGCTCCAATCGCACATGGCCCAAGCGCTGGGGAGTTAGCACCAGCTGCTGCTGCTTCTCGTCATGGGTCACTTGCACCACGCCCTGCTCGGTGAGCTCCAATTGAAAGAATCCGCTGCCCTGAGCTATGGAAATGTGCTCGCTGTGCGAGGGCGCCAAGTAAATGCTGATATGATCCGTCGGCAGCAATGTGCTATTGACTGTATGGAAACGAATCTCGTTCTCAATCACAGGCTTCGTGATTTCACCTGTCTTCACCTGCAATAATGGAGGTATATTAGAAATATATAGGGCTATTGGATATCACATGTGCTCACATTCTTCACTCCAAAGTTGGGATGCTCTGGCTGGATGCCCAGCTGCGAGAGCAGCTTCGTGTGATACCGTGCGACTGTGCCCTTGATGCGGAAATTAGGCGCCACCTCATTCAAGGTCAGCACTAGCACATCTCTGCTGGGCAATTGTACGTTATGATAGAGCTCCACTTCGGCCAGCTGCTTGTGGGGAATGCTGTCCGTTTGATAACGCTCATCGCCTGTAGCAAACTCCCATTCCAGCCCCAGCGAGCTGATGTTCATTAGCTTGCGATTCTTCACATCCTGCACCTCAATCTCAATCTTAAACTTGTTCTCCTCATCCTTGAGGTACAACAGCGAAGAGCGCAGCTCCACGGGACACGACTGGCGCAGTTGCTGCCGCGCATAGAGCTTGAGGAAACGCGGCCGGACGCAATGCACCTTGGTAGTTATTTCGGCGTGGTAGGCAGCAAAATTGGGTGCGGCCAGCTGATTGTGCACACGATACGTGAACTCCGTTTCGCCCAGCTCCCGGCAGAGCACAGTGAAGGCCGTCAAAGCATTCTGTGTATCGAAATCGATTTCCGACACTCTGAGGACTTTGCCATCGAATTTCGTGTCCTTGGTGAGCTCCGCCTCGAGCGTGAAAATGCGCTGGGGTCCATGGGCATAGATGACATTGCGTGAGGCGCCAATGGGCAGAACTATTTCATTCTCTACAGGATTTAGCACTGCAAGCGGCTCAAAGACATGCAAATCAACAGAGTCCTGCAGGACTTTGTCCTGGAAACTGTATGAGATGCGCAGCAGAGTGCTGCCCACAGCAGTGCTGCGCAGTTTGAGGATATGGCAGGCCTCCGGAGCCAGTACATCCCGTGCGTCCGAGGCTGGTCCGTTTTCCAGCTGCAATATCTGATGGGAGAAGTCCAGCTGGAAGTGCAAGTTATCGCACTTGGTATAGGGCACATAGCTGCCATTGACATGCGCGTAGACAGCCACATGGAGTCGCACGTAATCCCTCAGAGCAGTCTCAAAATTGTATTGCTTGACCTCCAGGCGTTTCGGTGGCAAAAAGTAGATTTGGGCTTGCCGTGAAATCTTCTGATTCTTAGCCAATCCCACCCGAACTGTGGTGTGTGCCGTCAGCTGCAAGCCCGAGTCAGTTATCTCCTGCGACACACCCGCCATGCGCACATCTCGTATCTCCGTGGTGGCCAAGCCCTGGCCATCGATTTGCAGCAAATGGGGATTGCCCGAGTACCACACGTAGTTGGAGTCACCGCCACTGGCATGAAATTGAAACTTCTGCGGCTTTATGGTATTCGGGTCGTAGGGCAGAATTACTTTGACGGGCTCCAGCGTGAGCTCCCCAAAGATTTGCATCTCTGCCTGCACCGAGAGCTGTAAAAGATCGTACATTAATATACAATACACTCTATAAAGCAGTAAATATATTTTACATCCTTATAAGAGCCATATATCTGGGTGGATCCTTGTCTTCGCGTCTCTCCGTACAATCGACTGCCGTTGCGCGTCCTCTGGAGTATCTTGAACAGACCTTCGTCCACCTCAGAACCAATATTGTAGCGAGTGCCGAGCGTAATCTTCTGACCATCGGCGGAATATAAATCCAATGCAACCTCATGCCGCTCGCCCTTCACAGTAATCCAATTGTTGTGCGGCAGCAAGCTAATGCCAAGTTTCTGGGGCTCTGCAACGGTCAGCAGAGCGCTGGGTCCTTTGGGCTTCTCGGCTGAGCTCTCTTTGGGCATGTTATGATCCCGCAAATAAACCTGAGTGCGACCCAGGCGAGAGGCCGTGGCTACGCTGCCCTTCATATAGGCCACATTCTCGTCCTCCACCTCCAAATAGTATTGCTTATTGGCTGTTATATCATGAAGTCTGTCCATTTTCAACTGCATTATGCGAAAGTTGATCGTATCGCCAGCCATGATGGTCACCTCCGAGGGCTCAATTATGATGTTGGCCAGCACACTGATGTACACCTCGACGGGCGGGACATGTCTGTACTCTGGCTGGGGCATGCTGACAGAAACTTTGGAGGTGCCCGTATTGATGCCCTCCAGCAGGATCATATAGCCCTTAACGCCAGCTGCTTCGAATTTCTCCAGCGACGGCGGCACCACATGGAACGGACTGTCCGAGAAGGTGAGGAAGCGTAGGGCAGGTGGCATATTATTGCTCGGTGAAGATATGTCCCAGTTAAACTCGATGCCCTCCAGCGTAAAGAATTCATTGCCTTGCGAGTCGAAGGCGTGCAGCTCGAATGTGGCTGGCGCTTCCTCCAGGTACAGCTGCCTGGTGGCTGTGCGCACATTCAGCCGGTCAATCGTATCCACAATCACATCGCAGCGGAGCGTTGCGCCCGTGGCCACCTCCTCGGCGAAGACAATCGCCGTGTTGCGACGCCGCTCACGTGTCTGCACCGTGACTATGGCCTGGCTGGAGCACTCCGAAAATCCGTTTTGCACAGGCGTGACACTTATCAGATCTTGGCGCGAAGATGTCCTAAAAATAAAGCCATTAATATAAGTAATCTGCTTTTAGGTTATAAAGCAGACGCCGGCTGCTGCGAAATTTCACCATTTGTAGCAATTGGGATCGACGACTTCCAGCGTGAAATTGATGGATTTGTCTTGAAATATCGGCAGCAGAACACGCGGATGATTCAATTTCGCCGATTCACACACATTTTGTGATACAAATAGCAGTAGAAATAAACAAAATACTTTCTGCATTTTGGCACATGTAAGCGTCCGTTTCAAAGAATCGCGTTGTTTTCTACTGAACTGACTCAAATGTGATAGCAAATGAGCTGACAGTCAAGCGATATATGGTTCATAAAAGCGAATGAACAATCTTATCGGAACCACACGTCTATCGATATGATTGCAGTTCCAGATTTTGGCGCCAATTTATGGTAAGCGATTAATCAGCCATAAACAAAGAATATTTACTTTTCATGTGACAATATATTTATTTATATTATCCATTAATAGAAAATATTAGCCAACACTTTATAATTAATTATGCATTACATGTATTTTCAAATGATGCAACCAATAACCATACAATAGTTCAAATGAACCAAATTGCTCATCACCATACAGCAAGTATCGATTCATAAACACGCAAAACTATCGGAGCCACTTAATTGCGCGGCAATTCAAATGATTTGATAACAATTTTTTTTTTTTTTTTGTAAAAACAAAAATATAAAATTTACAGCTTGGCAAATGGACCTTCATCGTCTAAAAATATATCTAATTGCAGGTTGTGCATGTTCTCTGGGCTGCAAGCATACTTGCTAAAATCTCTAACACCCACATCCAATAAAACCTCATCGTCCATGAAGAAATTGCCAGTGTATTCCCTGGCATCTCTGCAAATAATGGCATAAGCGGCATCTGCCATTATTTCAGGTTTCCGTGCGTATTTCGCACTCTCCGAACCACTCAGCATTTCAATTGCAGCCGTATGAATTGTGGTCCGAGGCCAAAGGGCATTGACGGCCACGCCTTGAGAACGGAACTCCTCGGCCATGCCAAGGACACACATCGACATGCCGTATTTGGCTATGGTGTAAGCTGTGTGATTGGCGAACCAGTGCGGCTTCATGTTCAGAGGGGGAGATAGGTTCAAGATGTGTGGATTATCGCTCTTCAGCAGATAGGGCAAACAGGTTTTGGAACTGCAAGAATTAAGAAATCTTAAAAGAGCTCCCATTTCCATAAGCCAAAGAACTCCACTTACACCAAGAAAGTGCCCCTTGTATTTATATTCTGCATCAGGTCATAGCGCTTCATGTCCGTCTCCAGGGTCGGCGTAAGAGATATGGCACTCGCATTGTTAATAACAATATCAATGCCTCCGAATTTTGCCACAGCTGCTTCAACCGCCTGTTGCACCTGCCTTTCATCGCGTACGTCCACAATGCAGGGCAAAGCTTTGCCACCTGCCCTTTCGACTGTGGATTGATATGAAGATAACACAAATCATTTCCAGTTCAAGTCAAGTACAAAGTGCACTACGTACTCTCCTCAGCTGCCGTATAAATTGTGCCAGGCAATTTTGGATGTGGCTCAGCTGTTTTAGCAGCTATCACTATATTTGCGCCATCGCGCGCTGCTTTCAAAGCGATTGCCTTGCCAATGCCACGAGATGCGCCTGTGATGAACAGTGTCTTGCCCTGTAATTTTCTACTTGCTTTGTCAATTTAATTCACTCACAAAGGTCAAACTTCAATAATTACCCGGAGTTCCTCATTCTTACAGTTAGCAAACTTTCCGCTAATCTAAAGCGCTAAGCAAAGAACAATGTCTAAAGAGAGCAGTAAGCAAAGTGACCAGATCGTGATCGATTTAAAATATCTATTGTTTACATCTTATCAATTTGAGTAAAGAAACCGATTATTTTAACATTCGATAGGTGGTCACACTTAAGCGCCTTAAATTTAAATAAATAACTGACACATTTTACATCATTTCAAATTGCCGCTCTCGCGCCTCTAAATATTTCCTCGAAGTCTTTAATGCTTAACGGAATGATCACACACTTCACTTTACTTTTACTGCACTGCACGACTGACCCCCACCAGGCCTACGTGACTGAAGAATTGCTACAGCTTCTGCTCTTTATATATGCATCAGCCTAAGTTGTTCTCAAATGTTGAGTCCGGTGAGAGGTAGAGGTCGTTGCTCGGTCGGAACGCTCTCTGCTGTGTTAAGCATTCTAGCTTCGTTTTACATATACACAAAATGAATTATCTCTGTGGCTCTTCTTCGTCTCTTGCTTTTGTTATGCAGACAGAGAGAGAAATGAATGTAAGAGGCATCTTCTACAGCCTTTATCCAATTATAAATTCAACAATTAATCACAAAACAATTGTTTTACAACTTAGCTAATGGATGTCCATCCTCTATAAATAAAGCTAAACTTAATTTATGTTTATTTTCTGGATGGCAGGCATATTTGCTCAAGTCTGTGACGCCTTCATTCAACAAGACTTCTTCGTCAATGAAAAAGTTTCCCGTAAATGCTGTAGAATCTCTACATATTATGGCATACGCAGCATCTGCCATTATCTCTGCTTTGCGTGCAAGTAATTCACCCTCAGGTCCAAAGAGCATATCAATTGCTGCCGTATGAACTTTGAAACGCGGCCAAAGCGCGTTAACTGCCACGCCCCTGTCGCGAAATTCCTCGGACATGCCCAGAACACACATCGACATGCCGTATTTGGATATAGTATAAGCAACGTGATGTGCCACCCATCGGGGACTCAGGTTCAGAGGGGGAGCCATGTTCAAGATGTGAGGATTATCGCTCTTCAACAGATAAGGCAAACAGGCTTTGGAGCTGTAGAGATAAAGTTGAAATTATTTTCAGATTCAAAGATAATATGATAAACATTGCACCTACACCAAGAAGCTGCCTCTTGTGTTCACATTCTGCATTAGATCATAGCGTTTCATATCTGTTTTAAGTGTAGATGTTTTTGATATAGCACTCGCATTATTTATCAATATGTCAATGCCTCCGAATTTAGCAACGGCTGCTTCAACAGCCTGTTGCACCTGCCTTTCATCGCGTACGTCCACAATGCAGGGCAAAGCTTTGCCTCCAGCCCTTTCAACTGTTAATAAGCATCAAATGTTGGTTAACATAAATGTGCTATTTTCATATTCACTTACTCTCCTCAGCTGCCGTATAAATTGTGCCAGGCAATTTTGGATGTGGATCAGCTGTCTTGGCAGCTATTACAATATTTGCCCCATCTCGGGCTGCTTTTAAAGCTATTGCCTTGCCTATGCCACGGGAAGCACCAGTAATAAACAGGGTTTTTCCTTTTAATTTGCTTATTAAAATACGTTTATTCGTTAGTATTTTAATTTTTTACAAACAAAGAACTTTATTACCCGGTATTTTTCATTGTTGACAATTGTTTTCTGTTCTGCAATGTGACCAAATTATATGAACAACAAAAATCCTAACAGTGCCTCGGCACATAACAGAGAGCAACAAGTTGTTGCTGTTAGTGTGTGAATTTTATAATAAAACCACTCTCGCAAAATTTGTAAAATTCTTTAAGATAATCCTATAACGTACAATCTTTTATTACATTGGTACAATATATTTGAAATTTAAAGTTAATGTCCAAAATTTCTAAAATCGTATTTCTTAATATAATATTTTTCAATTGCACATCACTAAAACTAAAGAATTTCCCAACACTTCACTAAAAACATTTCAACCGGTGCAAAAATGCGATGCGCCACAAATAAAAAGACGCTGCCTGAGTGAACAACTGAAACAAAGTAGTTTTCATAAAATAGTGACAATTTAACTAATGCAAAAATCAATACAAATACAAATAAAGAATGTCAGAAGCGATCGAGACCAGCCAGGCAGCCGCAGAGGATGCTTCGGCTCACGATTTTATAGAACTCAAATCTATGGAAGATGTGGAGAAACTGGAGCAAAAACAAATTTACGATTACATAGAAAAATTACACGGAATTATAAGGAAATATGATACAAAGATTGCATCATATAAGCAAAGACTAAAACATTTTGTGAGATTTGCGAATCGAAAGGCTTCTTGAAAAAACTAAAATGAAATTTTCTTACAGCTCAACAAGGAAGCAAAAAATTCGGAAGAAAAACTAGCGAATGGCGAAATAAATGAGACAAAGGATAATGGTGTGGAAGGTGAAGGTGAAGAGGGAAAAGAGCGTAAGTGTTAAGACATAACAACAATTTATTAATTATATTAAATTCTACATGGAAGATATTTTGTGGATTGCTTAATTATATCCGTTCACAATAAGAAACAGAGTATATTGGTTTTCATGTTGATTTGCTGGCTACGGCAGCCACGAGCGCAGCTCCACGCCCCGAACCGTCCTCGGAGAGCATAATATCGAATTCCTTATCCGGCTTGACCAGCTTCTGCATCATTTCCCTTATATAACTATCGAATTTCGGATGAAGGCGATAAACAGATCCATCCATGCCAACCACTACCTTGCGATCAGGGATCTTGTTAATCAGTCCACTGATGCCAATAGCCACCAAAGTTGCAGCACGCCTGGCCACACACTCGCAGATGTATTTCAGTTTCTGGCAGTCCTCCACGGACGCCTTATCCAGTCCAAAAAGCTCCTTAACAATGCGTCTGGTGCTTGTGAATTCGGGAAAGGAATCCTCTTCTATCTCCGATATGTGTTTCGTCTCAAAGATATCCACATTGTTCTGCAGCACCGCAACGAAGGCGGCCCGTTTGGGGCACAGCTTGAAGATCTTGTTCCTCTCCAGGGCGCGCAGCAGCACCAAACGCACCAGTTCGCCTAAATACATGCCTGCGGTCATTTTCTCGAACAGCTGCTCAGAGCGGTTGATCGACTTTCGATCCACTTCACGATCGTAATCTGTGCGAACAAAGTCTAGCTGTCCGTTCTCTCCAAAGGCACCCCACTCCACATTTACAATCACCTGACTGCGACTGCGTTTGAAATTCGGATCGAGTAGCTCCACATTCTCCACCTGCTCCACATAGCAGGCATTGCAGCCGGTGCCGACAATGACGCCCACGCGGCATTCGGGATTGCGATGTGCACAGGACATCAGTGTGCCAGTCGTGTCATTGAGCAGAGCGACGACTGCAATCTCTGCATCTCCGCGCCTTTGAATGGCGTCGTGCAGCATTTGGCCCACATCCTGGCCCTCGACACCGGGACAACTGAAGCCCTTCGTCCACCTCGTCAGCATCGCCTCCTTCAGACCCAACTGGACGCAGGGAAAGGAGAAGGTGAAGCCCAACGGCAAATAAGCCTTATCCATGTCGTGCTTGGCCACAAATTTGGCCAAACATTCTGCAATATGATCGAACAGCTGCACGCCCGGCCCAGTCATTAGGTCCTTGGGCACGGGGTAAATCTGCGACTCGACAGTGGCATCGTGGTGTCCCTTGAGCGTAACAAGCAGCACACGGAAGTTGGTGCCACCCAAGTCCAGGGCCAAATACTTGCCCATCTCGTCGCCCGTGGGCAAGTCCTGTACATATGTGGGAAAGCATTTTGTGCTCGCCTGATCGTGTGTGCTCCGCCGCAATCCTTTGGCTGTCTCGTTGCAGAAACGACGGTACACCTCTTGCACCTGGTAATCGCTCAGCACAAAGGGTTGCATAAGCTCACGTATTTCTACATCGACCATTTTCTTCCGTGTTTTATTGCACCGCTGCTATCCGCCTGGCTCGAATGATGAGTAACGACTAACCAGACCACATGCAAGCACCTGCTAACGTCGCCAACTGTGGCTGCAGTCGCCGCTGTTGCTGCTGCTGCTGCTGCTGCGGCACTTGATAAGAATTGCAGTAGCTCAAATTTTCGCATTCGCAGTTTATAACTGTGTAATCTAAGCTAGCATCAATTAGAAAAAAAATCAACTAAATCTGCTGAAACATAAGTAGAAAGACACAACGTGTGCTACCCGACAGATTAAGGCAAGGCGAAAGGCGATAAAGCTTATACGCCGGGCATGCCAGCCTCTTTTAATGAAGCTACTTTAGGGCATATTCATTAAGTCTGTGATTTAGTCTTCAGAATAGATGTCTAGGGTATGATTTAAAAGCAGATTGTTATCTGTATTTAAGAGCATTTATAGGCATTTTTTTACCATTGCAGTCATAAATCTTTAAAAATCTTGGAATTGCACAAAAACACATTTTCAAACCATTCTTTCTTTCTAATCCACACTATGCAGTAATTCTATAGTGCATAAGCTTTGTTTTTATTTAGAAATGGAATGAATCATCTCGAATAACAAGTTTCTTGAAGTTTCTAAAAAAAATCTGTTTTCTTATACATGAACTAAAAGTTGTACTAATAATAATACTTTCTACAACTGTTTTGTTTCTGTTTCTGTTATATATGTGTACATAGATAGTATAGGTAGGCTGTTATGACTGTTTTTTATACAACAACTAAAATGTTTATAATTTCTAACACAGCTTAACACAGTTATTATTTATTATTTTAAGAAGTCTAGATAACAGATACTAAGTTACAAACAATTATAATTTTGAGCTTCAGACTGTGTAATAGTCTTACATTGTAACAGATGCAATTATCTATAGCGAATCAGCTGTTGATAATGACCATATAGTTTATGGTACTACAAGTATCTTCCATGCAATTAAAATTCAGACTGAAGTCCAATACTCAAGCCAAACAAACTAAATGAATAAAAATTAGATCATACCTTTAACACTTTGATACTTATTCTTTTATAAATATACCTTACTTTATATAACTTACACTTTATCACTAATTACCCCAAATTTCCCACTATTTGTAGTTAGCCTAGTTTATTTACCTGTAGAAAACGGTTTTTATTATATTGTGTGATATTTCATATTGTTGTAAGTCAGGTCCGTTACACATTTAATCTTAATTATTTCCTTATTTTTACTATAAAATGGAAAAGGTGATAATCCCCAAGCGCCAAGTTTACGTCAAAGTGCGCGGAAGATTAGCGTAAGGTCCCTGGTAAATGATGTAAGCGGGTTGGCACAGGCTAAATAGGCGATAAGACTGGGTCTAAAATATTAAT